TTACCATTTTTCCTTAGTTATGGTGCTCCGCTCAAAAGTAAGACTGAATATATCAGTGTAGCATCATAAGAACTTATATATGTTACTTTTAAGTTTAAACATTTAGATAGTTTAATTTTACATGCTTAATCGTCACATTTTTTTGTCCAGTTACAGGTAAACCCGGTCAGAAGAAGCGTTGTACCATAACACTAGAAGAGGAGAAAATTGTCCTAGAGGCCTATAAGATCTGTACCGGTGGTTRGAGTGAGATGCTTCAATTTGTTAAAGGCAAAGTTGAAGAAATTAGAGCTGGAGACGTAATGAAGCAAAGAAAGCTCAGAGATTATTACAGGGAAGCATCTCAAAAGTCAGCCATAAAAAGAATGCAACGGATTGTTAACAAGAAGGCAGGAAAAGTAGACGAAATACCGTCAGTACCGTCTACAAGCACTAACAGGGTTCACTCTGACAGCATGGCCAATTCCATCATGAGGGCTAAAGTACGATACAGCCAAAAAGCTACGCCAGAGCAACGAAAACCAAAAAAGTTGGATCTCATGYTGGAAGATAGCTGTAGTTCTTCAGACGAGGACAGCCAAATAACTATGTCACCTGAGACAAGCGTGAAAGACACGACACAAGAATCTCAGCCTCCGCTGCCAACTAAAGTCTCAAAGAAGAGAAAAAGAAATCGGGGAAAGACCGCTAGAGAGTCCCACGAAGCTCACACAAAAATGTGTGAGCGTGCTATGGGAATGATGGACAAAATYACTACATTGTTAGACAAATTTGAATCCGAAAGTGATTAGTACTGTTAAGTAAATATTTCCCTCATTAACATTATAATTGGAAAATAAAGAAAATTTGCTAGATACTCAATAGTCGTTTTTATTTTCTAATCAAAACAATAGAAGCATGCGCCATTAGCATATTTAGTGGGTATTGTTATTAAATAGTGGATCGGCCACTAATCAGTGTCCTTATGCGAAAGATGTCTAATAACCCTACTTGTATTCTAATCTTTTTTTTTTGTTTTTAGATTTCTGAGTTTGTGGACAATTTGAAAATGGAAAAACTTATCTTGCAGCCAGATGTTTGCTCCAACTGCCTCTCTGATGCATAATTCTCCAAGCTCTTTATTCAGTGTTTGGTCTTCTGTAAATAAAATTATTACCAAAAACTCTATATCTGTTTAAAGGTTATTGACCGAGTGATTGATGAAATAATATTTTGACTATTCCCTAAAAATGAGAGAAAAAAGTGCCAATTGAATAAGTCTCTAATGTTGCAAGGACTTTGCTAAGAATAATTCACATTAACCTTYATTGCTTTTAATTCAGTCGTATATAAATATCGAACGCAAAAGGGTGCAACAAAAAATACAAAAAAAAGCTAAATTATGACAATTCTGTTGTTTAMTATTGTTGAAACAGCATTATTTAGTAGTACATGATGCTAATTACCACTCACTAGGAATATGAACATGTTTGGAAATACATTTTTGGATTCAGCGCGTCAAGGTGCATCCACAGATGGCCTTTATTTTTTTATTCGACCAAATGCTGTCGAGATATTAAAGACAAACCAAAAAAACACTTTTTTGCCCCTATCTTTACAGGTATCGTTGCTAGGCAACAAACCCGTGCAGGGACTTGAAACCTCGTGGACACAATCTCGCACGAGTCTACACTGCACGAAAAAATGATTTCACTGCATGTGTGAATATGGTGTGAATTTCGAGGTCTATATTCACATCATATTCACCTCAAGCCGAATATAATATTCACTGTTGCGATATATATGGAGCAAAAGTGAAGTGAATCTCTAGATTCACGCTAAATTCTCAACATATTCATAAATATTGTAAATTCGATATTCACATAAGATTTACTTATACTGTGAATGTGAACTACGATATTCACGTCATATTTACATCCCTGAGTGAATATTAAATTCACTTAGATGTGAAACTGACGTGAACTACGATATTCACGCCATATTTACATCCCTGCGTGAATATTAAATTCACTTAGATGTGAAACTGACGTGAACTACGATATTCACGCCATATTTACATCCCTGCGTGAATATTAAATTCACTTAGATGTGAAACTGACGTGAACTACGATATTCACGCCATATTTACATCCCTGCGTGAATATTAAATTCACTT